CCTGTCAAAGCAGCAGGACAAACATGCCCATGTCACCAAGAGCCACTTACTGTCCTCCCCACTGGTGTTCACTTGCACCATGACCTTCAGCTTCTGAGATGATCCTTTTTTCTGCCACGAGCTGTTGACTCTGTCWGCCAGTTTCACAGAATCCACAGTTTCCAACATGAACAGGTTTGGGACAGCTGAAAACACAGAAAACACAGCCTGAGGGAATTCTGATGCACTGTTTGTACCTACACCAGGCATTGGTGAGTTCATGATTATTGTTTCAGAGAATCTAAGGGATGACTGAGTTCAACCTTTTTGCACAGACACCCCAAAAATCCCACCCTCTYCACCCAGCCTAACCCTCCCCTGACACATCTAAACTCTACAAAACCACTGCCCACATAAAATCCACCAGCATTTACCAATCAGTTTGTTGACATTGCCTTTCTGCAGGTGGCCAATAAAATGCCACTTGATGTCCGGACAAGATGACAGAATCTGAAAGCAGAGAGAACAGTCAGGTTTGGAACAACAATTCCCTCTTTTCCCCAGGCAGCACTTCAGTCTTGGTTCATCCACAAACAAATACCAGACACCCAATTTCTGTGTTTGTTGACCCTGAAAGACTCAGCCTGTGGTTGTGCTGAGCCTGGAGAGGGACTGGCATGTCCATGGGAACAGGGAAGGCAAAGCTCTTTTGCAACAGCCATAAATTGGTATTTTTGCCTCAGTGGTGACTTTTTTTTTGTTTTTTTTTGCAACAAGGACTGTGCCTCTCCTAAGGAAAGCACAAAARGCAGAGCTCTGTGCAGACAGATCATGACTAAGGCTCGTGTATTCCCAGACTCCTCTGGAGCCAGCAAGGCAGGAGGGGGAAYGGGGCAAAGAGCCAAGAAAAACCCACCATTTATCTGCAAAGACAAGGATCCCACCAAATCCTTAACAAAACCAGGAATTTGACTGMCCAGCTCTCAGGAAAGCTCTGTACATGGAAATAAAACCTGAAGGGAACTGTGTGCTTACTCTGGAATCTGATGCCTTTTCCAGCAACTCCTGGACCTGCGAAAATGAAGAAGAATTCTGTTAAATCCACGGCACAAATAAGAT